ATGTTTAAAACAACGCTCAGAGCCGGATTTGTGCGGGTTCATGTGGATGAAAACTTTTCTGAAACCGGTCCTGTGTGTAGAATGTTTCTTAAATGGCGTGGCAAGACTATTTGTTTTTATAAATACTCGGCTACAGGCGTACTAGGCTTTAAAGTGTAACACTTGAGGTGTAAGCCCGTTGCGTAAAGTTACAAAAATGTGGATCACCACCAGCTGAAACGGGAGAGCAAGCCCCGTCTCAAAAGGGTGACGAAAGAAATCTGAGGTTTTGACCAGCACTGACATGGCAATGCATTAAGACAGGTTACTTTAACATCTGCCTGTTGATTCAGGTGTCTCATCTTCCTCTTGACAGATTTCCAATCAGGTTTAAGTCAGATGAAAATTAATGTGTTCAAGAATGTTCAAAACTATCCCCGAGGCATTATGCATGCATCAACGCAAGCAATATGCAGTTGTAGGCCAGTCCTTGAACATCAACTGAGCTCTTGTTTCTACTCAAAGATTGTATTATCTCAAATGACACAATAAAATTGACGTGTTCAAGAAATAATTGGGTCAGTGGCCGTGGTGCTGCTAAGCCGACAGTAATGTAATTACAGCGCCATGGCACTCGCATCCTTCCTTCCTGCTGCTGCCAGAGGGAGAAACTCAACATAATGCCACGGCCAATCAAAGATGAAGCAGAGAACTGTCAAAATGGGCATAGGTTACATCAGTGGTTAACACCAGAAGACAGGGGGGGTTTCTTGTCTGCCGGCTTGGAACTGGACCAACACTGGAGAGATCACAGACGAACTGAATGAAGAGCTTCTTTGTGCAGATACCAGCTTTTTGTGCCTCTTCCTATAGACTCCCTAAATACAGCCTGTTCTGTCTCTCAGTAACTCACACACATGCCATAAACACGCACACACTGCCGTGGCGTGGTTTCACTTTTCTCAGATCATCTGACGCAGACATGCACAGATAAACTTTCCAACCCTGCGGTATTCGCCAGAGTTCCCATCTCTGCTTTCATGTTCCTACAGCAACATCACCCAACACTAGATTATCCAGATTACATAATACCACTGCCTTTTGATATTAAGAACCTCCCTCGGGCCTGACTTTTTGTGTTTGTGTGTACATATATTTATGCCACTGCACAACCGGGACATCTACCTACAGAACATGAATGCTCTGCTCCACCCATGCGACCGGCTGCTTCTGCACTGCACTGAACACACCCTGTAAATACCTGCGCTGGAAAGATAACAGCAGCATAACAAACAGTGGCGAAGGCGCCTACTGGGTTGTTGCAGGGAAACAACTTTCTTATGGAGCCCCATAGAGGCCTAGTCTTGTGTTTTCCTCTCAAGTGAGCATCAGGAGGGCCGGGGACAGTGCCTGGAGAAGGTAATAGGGACATATTCCAAAGATCAGTGCGGGATTAGCACTAATGCCTGCCGGGTTTATCTGTAGTCACGTGGACAAACACCTGGCTGCAGTGTTGGTGCCTCTCTCTCTCTGTGTGTGTGTGTGTGTGTGCGTGTGCGTGTGTATAATACCTTGTGGGGACGATTTTCCTGACATATACTACATTGTGGGGACCAATCGCTCCTCGTGGGGACACCCTGTTTTTGGGTCAGGGGTCAGATTTAGGGCTAAGGTATGAATTGAGTTTTGGTTAGGGTTAGGTATGTGATGGTTAGGGTTAGGAAAAGGGTAAAGGTAAGGTTTAGGCTGTAGAAATGAATGGAAGTCAATGGAAAGTCCCCACAAAGATAGCAACACAAACGTGTATGTGTGTGTGTGTCAGTGCTAATCCATCTGACACCTCAAACTCAAGGGTTAGGCCAGCATGCTCTGAGAGAGAACAGGCGCCTCTTCCTCTCAAACCCGCCTCGAATGTCGGAGTAATGAGGAGGAGAAAAGCGACAACCTTTGCGAGTCGGATCTGACGCTTTGGTGCTCAAAAACGGTTGCGACATAAATTGGGTGATCTGAAGCAGGACTTGTTTTCCTACCAGCATTTGTTCTTCCTGATGAAATAAAAAAGAAGTTAGGTAAAAAAAAAAGCCTTGCGATTTATTTGCGCAGCCACATCAATTGGCTAGAGCTCTGTCACACAGCAACCAAAGGATCATTAAAATAAAGCCTGGAACTTGTTAGTGTGAGAGCTGCTGTTCATTAAGACACAATTTTACACACATTTTACACATTCTTGTGCTTTTCTACTTGGTGACTTTAAAAAAATTTAAGTTTGTGGATGGATGAATATGGATTAATAGTTGACAAACAGCCTTGCACAGGGCACCGCTACTGATCCTGCTGCTGTCCAGGTGGCACTGTGTGAACATTTAATACCAGGCTATTAGAAAAAGTCTTGATTTACAAAAAAAAAAAAAGTGTACATATCTAACGGATAAAGAGAAAGTTTCATGACAGCTGGATTAGAAACAATCTTGCCTCAGCACTATTTGTGTTACAGAGATTGATGTTATGTGGGCTACTTTCTAAAGAAGAGTCCCTGAGCTGCTATTCTGGACCTTAATCTGACCACGCCAGATCCTCTTTTAGCACAACAGCATCGACTCTAAACCCTTGTTAAACAGGCGGATGTTTCTGCCGCGGAAGGTTTGGTGGCCATCTGCCACTCTATGAACTCCACTTTCAAATCTGAGCAAAAGCAATGGAAAGAAATTAATATAACGCTATACGTAGTGCTGTAATCGTCCCAGGATTCAGAAGAGTGGTACTGCATGGGAATTTTTACAAACTAATCATTGACTGGTTATCGATATTAAGGTGTACTGAGGTTTTAATAAGTTTTTTTTTTTTTTTTTTTTTTTTTTTACAAAACTGCTCAAATATTCTGCCACCACAGTCATGGTTTAAAATGGAGGTGCACCAAGAAGTTGGCTTTTGACTGGAATTCGCTGGAATTTAGTTTGATCAGCCGAGATCAATAACCAGCCGGTAGAAAACTGAAGGACCGTGTTCTTCACATAAACACTTTGTGGATGGTGTGTCTGCATGATAGGGACTCTGTCAACTTTCACCATAACTGTGGCGTTTAGAAGGAAAAATCCCAAGAAGCACGGAGATCTAAAAAGTAATTTAAAAGCAAACTATATATCCGGACAGCGAGAGAGAGCAAGACTTTAAGCAGATGCCAGAGTGGCTAATGAGTGTGAAAAAGTTTGGTTGTGAAAATGTTGATTTATCTTTTGCAAATCTGAGTTAAAGATTTGCATTTTCTCAGGAATACATGAAGAAACTTCCATTTTCTTAATGCTAGCCATCCTAACATTATTATTATAAGATATTTAAAATGTAAACATTTTAACCATTTCCTAAGTTTCATTTTAAAATACTATTAAAATTTTCCTCACATTTAATTATTAAATGAAGACCATAATGTAAATAAAATGTTTTGAAAGTTTGTCTTTTAAAAGAGGAAAAAGTGATGCCGGTTTTCCTCTACCTTTCTTATTGCTGGTCACTGCTGGTCAGCTGGTTGAAAGAAGGCTCCTTGTCTTGAAATGTGGAGGCAAATTCATCTCTTTTTAAATATACCTAATAGTAGCAAAAAATCAGCAAAGTCATGATGCTCCTAAAATGATTCCATCCGTTTATTGAATTGCAATTGAGATGTAGAACATGATCTCACTGTTTTTATTTCAAACATTCCTATTGCTACCAGATTGGTTACTTCAGTTATTATGTTGTTTATAGATTGGATTTGTTGATTTTTCTTTGATACAGACTTAATTGAAAATAATAAAAGTAAAAGCTTTTGAGTGCTCATTGTGCAGAATGTTGTATCTTCCTGCGTTTCTGCTCTTTACAAAGTCACAGGTTTAACAAACCCTAAGTTTGCAAACCAGCTGTAGTTTTAAAGCAGCATTACTTTAACAGTGATGAACGGGATTCATCTACTTCACTCTTCTGGTAAGCAAGGGAAAAGTTTAGAAGCTTCCAGAATCTTTATAAAAAAAACCAGCATACAGTAATGATTTAAAAACCGTGATGTACCTTAGTGGTAACCGGCTCATGCTTGGTGTTAATATTGTGGTTCCGGACAGAACAACCTCGGATGCCGTTTCTCTTATCTTGTCTGATTTGTGCTGTGGTTATCATGTCGTGCTTATTCTTCCTATAATAACAAATGTTCTCTTTGAGAACATTTGTTTAATGAGAGCTCTTAAACACCTAATTTAATTTTGAGGTTAAGACGGTACAGTTGTTCTGGAAAGCAGACCTTTGGGGAAGGAGAATCTGTGCTGGTGCGACGTTGATCTCACGCTTTAGCTCCCTCCTGTCACAATCAGATTTGTCAGGTTATGAAAGTTGAACGCCTCAGTTGACTTTAGGCTTAACCTCGATCAGGCCTCTTGGGGCACAGCTAGATACAGCGTAATCTCTACGTATGATATGGGCTTAGTGCAAAGTGGATCATCACTTTGATAAAAATAATCCAAGAGAGGCTTCACTGCTTTTTACAGCACATGTAATGTTTTATTATCTCAATCCGCGTAATAAACTAATAAAGCTGCAGCTCTATAAAAGAAAATGAGTGGAGGACTGAATGCCTTTGCAAGGAGCATCCAGCAAACAACTATGCATGAAAATGAGGCACAGCACCACCACTTTGGCTGAGTGACAGAAAAAAAACAAAAAAACTTTTCATGTCTGAAAAACAAACGTGTCTGCTTACTAGGAGTGAAATAATTACAATAACCATCTACTTTTTTGTTGTTTTTGTGCTTGGTCCAGCTTGGTGGCATGCCCCCTTGTAATCAGTGGCCGCTACTCTGCAAACATTTCGTGCCAGCCCGGCTGCTGCGCACCGCTGTCATGCGGTTGCAGCGAGGGCTGCTTGTTGATACAGATAATCCAACGTGTGTTTTCTGCCACTCAGGCACTTAGAGAGGCATCTCTGTCAGCAGCACCTAACGCCTTCCCACTTAAGCTGCCAGCTTAAACTAGCAAAAGATGATGTGCGCTGTCCTTACCGTTCGGCCTGCTAATCCAGACTTAGCTGCGTGGCGTCGGCTTCAGCTGACCTCCTCAGGCAAGTGCTGACTGGGTACGTCCATCTTCATCACAGGTGAGGAGCATAGGCAGGAGTCCTTCTCTTTTCCCATGAATTGTGTCACAGCTCCTTCGCCTCGCGAGTACAGGAGGTGTCCTGACTTGATTCAGGTCCAGGATGTCTTATTCTTTGATCATATTTGCTTTTCCATTGAACTCTTCTGAGTGGTGAAGATCAAAATCAACATTCCTCTGAATGTAAGCATGCTCTTTGTGGCAGCCAGATTGATCCATTCAAAAGAAGAAGAAGGTGGGGAGGAAAAAGAGCTTGAAGGGACTGTAGGCTTCAGTTCAGAAAACGCCCATCAACATGTCTCTTCGCGCAGAACTTCTTGCTCTTCTGTCTTGCAAAAAAGAAAGCCTTTAACCTAAAACAGAAGGGGAGAGCAGAGCTGAGGTGCAGTGGCATGCAATAAACAGATCCCACAGATGTCTTAACTTTTATCCCATCTGTTGAAGGACTTGAGTCCCCTCAGAGCACTTTGTCTCCACTGATGGAAGGACAATGCACATCTTACCCTCTTTTCCAGCAGCAGGTCCTCTGTTGTCCTCCCGGGGGGGAACTCTGTCGGGTGGAGAGGATGGGTTAGGGTGAGGAGGGAGAGCGTGGTTACTCTTAAGTGGAGCAGAGAGCTTCTTTCTGATGCCTCTGCTTGCCTCTCCCCCCCTCAAACTGTTGCTCCTCCTCCTCCATAGTTGTGCTTGTGGGCCGAGTCGGATTACTCCTGATATGTTAATCTTCCTGGCTCTAACTCCAGGAGCACTAAAGGATGCTTTGGCCTGAGCAGGAGCTTACATTCACCTTCTGCCGCAAGGGAGTCTGCCATCTTAAGCAGGCAATTGGTAATAGCCTCAACTGGGCAGATAGGGTCTGCTGAAGCAAGTGCTTTCCAATCATTTAGGGGGAATTAGGAAAGTTCACAATTGGTTTAAAAGGCTTTGAGATGACATTAAAACCCATCTAAACAGAGTTATCACAAAAGAAGTGTTTCATGATTCAATCTGGAGTCAGCCGGAGATAAAACCATGACTCTTGTTGAGGATCTCGCATTTCCCTCCTCTCCGGACCCGTGTTTCAGCCCGTGAGCCCTCGAGCGGCAAATGAGGAGCAGATGGTCGTACTTTTGGAAGGTATCAGGCAGTCCAGACTGCAAATCTAAATAAATACCCTGTTCCCAGAGGAAATGTGTCAGGTGCGCGGGGTCGGTAATGTCTAAACAGAATCCAACCTGTTTAGAGATGAGCTAACCGATGCACAAGATCGGAGGAGACGCCACGAAACTTCACAGGTGTTGCTTTTAGGGAGCGTAAACCTTCTTAATAAATCAGCTCAAGAGGTGTGTTTGAAGCCAGAGATGGATGAATAAATTTGAACATGAGCCAGCAACACAACAGGAAGCAAATTATTTGCTAACAATTATCTTATTCTAACAACATGACTCATTCAGACACACTCAGCCCAGTGTCAACACAAATCATAGTTTACAGGCGAAGATGTGGTTCAGTGTTTACGTTCTATGCCTCATAGATACTTTAGAAATGAGTGGGAACAAAATGGAAATACCAGAGGAATTTCCTGCCGGCTTTCAAGTTCAGATGACATAAAACCAAGGACCTAAAACTGGTTGTGCTTTTGGCGCTTGTAGTGATACCCAGAAAAAAAGTATTTCTAACCATTCAAGGATAATTACCAGCCACAGATGTGGAGCTTCCCCTCAACATGTTTAAACACATGAATCTTTATTTCAAACTGAATTTCATGAAGAGAGATGCTGGTCTTTTTGTCCCTTTGCCACTTAATACATTAGCAGTTTTAGTTTTTTCTGGGCATGAAATGTGGCTGTTCACAGCACAGTGTTTCGTCCAAGGAGAACTACTGGACCATGGATCCAGAAACTACACCAATCCCACCTTAACCATCTTCCAGATACAATCTAGAAATTACTTTGCACAGTGGCATTCTGACAAAGCAATACTTTCTAAAATTTCTTATCTTTAAATAGATGGATTAATTTGACAAACAGAGGTTGAACTGTGCTCTGTACAAGAAAGATGATACAAACTAAACTGCAGCTGTTTTCAACCATCAGGAGCCATATTGGATTTTGAGGCTGAAGTTGGTGGAAAAACTTCAGATTTTAATTATTGTAATTTATACTTTAGATGACCTTTCTGTTTATTTCTCCCAACCAGGAACATGGAAAGTTCCACTTCTGAGTACAACTAGATAAATAAAACATGCAAATCTGATTGAAATTGGCAGTATTTTTAGTTTTGCCCAGGAAGGGACTTAATCCCTCAGGTTGCAAACAGATTTGCGTGTTTGTGTTTGAATGTGGCTTCGTGAGACTCATAGCAAAACAGTTTATGCAGTCGGAGGCTTTTTCAAATTTGTTGTAATACAGACTGCTACAGGAAATCTTTCCTGCCCACACCCAGATAGAGATGGCTATCTGCTCACTGCCCACATTTACAATGTGTGTTGTAAATGTTACAGCATCATTTAGTTTCTCTTTGGGATCAATAAAGTATTTTTAATTGAATTGAAATTGAAAATAACTAGGAAAGTGCTGTACTAATTCAGTCCATTTACTAATTAAAGGGGATAATGTAGAGAACTTCCAACGCGGACAACTGAACCAATGTAAACTGCTGCCTTTTAAGTTGAAATCTGGACTCAGATTACATCTGGATAAATAAAACATGCAAATCTGATTGCATCAAACTCTGTCTAACTCTATCTTAATAGCAAATCAGACAATTGGATAGAGAGATCCTAAATACTGTGCTACTGCAATGTCAACTGAACGCCTGCAACCTCATATAAAGTTTGCATATACTTGAACCCATTCAGAAATGCCTACAGCTACCTATTTTAATAATTCAAACACCAAATATAGCTTAATATGCCTTATAAATATAGCTTAATATGTTCAAACTGATCACTACCACAGAAGCCATTATCTACGGTCTTCCTCATCTCTACTGTTTAGGGTACAGCCAATAGGCACCAAGGAAAATGATTGTTGCTCCTGGATTGGCTGCTTTACAAATGACAGCATTGCAGCAACTTCCCAAGCTGTATTTTATTTCAATTATTTTTGAAGTGCTCTATGGGAAAAATGAAAGAATTATTCAATTTTTTGGGGAATAATATGAAGTTCTATTCCCCAAAATTTGCAAAAAGGGTGGGCTCCACTGTACTACTGCTATTATTTTTCCTAATGTATTTTTTAGATGACAAATAGACAGTGTGCTTACTGCAGGTATTACTTTGTTGTTGTTTTTTTTGTACATTTAGCAGCCATATTGGATTTTGAGTCTGGTGTTGGTGACAAACCTTCAGCTTTCCTGCTTAAAATACGAAATAAAATTCAGGGGATATTTCTGTTTGTTTTTTTTTTTCCACCATAATTTCAGCTTGAAAATTCAAACAAAAATGTTTTAACCAGACATGTTGTTTTTTCAACACAAAACTAACTGGAAAAAGTCCAAACCTGTTGTATCTATCAATGTGGTGGTTCCTGGAAATATAAGTGTTTACTGAGATGGTTCCTATTAGAAAGGGAGATTATAAAAAGTAGATCTGTCTTATTGTTTAAAGTACAACGGAGATCAGCGATGTGCCAAAAAATCAAGACAATTCCTCGTCTTTCTCATACTTGGAGTGTTATTCTGGGAGTCGGCAGGTGCAAATCCCACCTTGAAAACGCGAAGCAGACATGATCATTCACGCCAACTTTGACATAAAGTTCAGTTGCGGGCCAGAACAGCACATGTAAACGTATAACGACTTCCAGTTAGCAGGGGAGGTCATGCTTTTGTAGCCTTGAAAGGGATCCATCGGCACAGAAGTATTTCCTAACACTAGGCAGGAACAATTTCTGCTTTATACATATTGTTCACAGATGTGTAAGTATTCAAAGCCCAGCCCCGACTGTTTGCTAAAGCCTAACAGCTGTTAATTGCAAAATCAAGTCAGAGACAGCGCAAGTCAAACAACGAGTTTGTATACACTGAAAAGTCTCTCTCAACAGCAAAGATTACATTAGTCAGAAAGACTTTTGTGTTTGAACACACAAGAACAAAGAAAAGGAAAAACAAAGAATTCTTCCAATCTTTATATGATCAAGATCCATATGCTGGGGATTGAACCTTTTCCACTGGGCGTGTATGAGTGAAGAACCGCTTTCTGTTTAGTTTGGGGCAAGATTTTAAGGAAGCCCACAATCAGCAACACTATAAACAAACCATTCCAGTTGAGGTGTCATTAAAACGACTGGAAATCAGGCACAACCATTGCTGCTCTCTCGTCTTGCCCAATCTGCGGTTTGACGATTGGACAAGTTGCCCTTTTGCCAAACTGTCATCTCGGCGAGTGGAAAGCTACTTTCCAAAGACTTTGAGTCTAAACAGACATTTCTGCACAGAAAGCAGAAGGATAATGAGAGCTTTGTCTGACTTTTTTTTTTATGTTGACAGACGACCACATTTTGTCTGAGAGACTTGGTAAGGTAAATGGCTCCTGGCTGAGGGACAAATATACAAGGCAATTTGCTACTATGATCAGAAGAGCAGAGGCCAAGAGGTGAAGATGCCTCTAATCTTTCCAAAGAACCCTTTTGGCTTTTGGACACGTCCACTTCAGATTCTTCTGCTGCAGTTTAGGCTACACCCTCTCCCCCCCCTTTTTACATGTTTTCAACCCCATTCAATTGCAATCAATCTAAACTGTTTAAAAGCATGATTAAACTCAACAAAGTGTCAGGAAACTCTATTTAGCACAAGTAAATGCTGCCCTCACCTGTCGGTGGTTCCTAACTACATGCAGAAATGACTGAACATTCATCAGCAGAACTTAATTCTTTAATGGAAACAAATTTTCTGTCTTCTTGTGTCAGATTTTTGAGTGTTTTCTTCTCGGCTCAGTCTTCTTTCTGATCTCCTCTAAAGCTATTTCATTCAAGAAAGTCATATTTCTGCCTTCTGCCATTAAAACCTTTGGTATCGTCGGGGCCAAAGGGCTGACGCAGGACTTTTAGTATTAAGCCGGTTGTGTTCAGGTGCTCAGCTGTCTCCAGCTTTGCTGCACTGGCTGCGGATTTGCGCTTTAGTACCCACGGGCACTGAGAAAACGGTGTGTTGCGGTCTCCGGAGCACCAGTCTGTCCAGCTGTATCTCTTAGTTAATCCTCGCAATGACTTTTGACTGCAGCTGGAGTCCTCCTGGCCTGCTGGAGGAGGATATGCTTCTCCAGTTTCTTCAGAAAACCTGAGAGGTGAGGGAGGGTCCTGCTGGAGCGAAACCTGAGAGCCGTTCTGAGGATCTCCCATAGAACATGTGGCGTCTCCTTTGTTCTCCGATGGATCAAACTTATTCATGCTCTGCACTGACTGCCATCCCAGCGGCACCACACACAGGCCCCTCCCATTAATCTTCTCTTCTTCTCTGAGAGAGCTGTAGGCCCTGCGGACCGACTCCAAACTATTAAACTTCATCACGGCACACAAAAGCTGGCCGAGCTCTTTGTGACGTTTGGCGTAGCATTGCAGCTCTTTGGGAAGCTCCTCTCCGGGATGCAGGATCCAGACTGATGCGACGTCACCCGGCGAGTCAAACCTCTGGAGGATGCTCAATAAGAGCGAAGGCTGCCCCGGGTCGGCTCCGTCCTCTGCGCTCTGCTCCTCTGAGGCGTTCCAGATGAGGAGGAGCCGGCTGGTCGGGGAGCACATCAGCCACTGAGGGAGAGCCTCTTTGCGTCGCACTTTGGTGCATTCCTCGTTCAACTCCAGGAGGTCCGAGCACTCTGCGGCCGCTAGAGTCATGTACCAGTTCGTGGTCAGAGCCTTTATCTGTGGCAAATATTTAACATTTTAGCTTTGTTTGCATTCTTACTGCGTTGTTTCTATTCAAACTGCGTCAGAGAGCACACAAACCTGAGAAGTACATTTACCTTTTTCAGACAAGTGAGAAGCTTGAGACTGACATAGCCCTGCTTGTTCTTCTGCATGTGTTTTAGCAGGAAGCCGTCCTCCGCCAGGTGACTGTCGGAGAACATTTCCTCCAAGTGGTCTTTAATCTTCAGGCAGAGTAACTGTGCTTCATGGTCTTCTGCATCCTGGTTGGATTCTGCACCATTTCTACAACACATTTTACAGTATTCTGTAAAAGCCAGCAGCGTAGGTTAGTCAAGCCTACGGTTTGACGTTTTCTTACCCATTCAGATCACTCATTGTGCCTCCTAATGGTGCCGTTTCTGGCATTTTCCACGCCAAATACAGGTATTCAAAAAGAGAGTAACAAAAAAACTACTGCAGCGGTATAAAACAGAGTGCGTAAAGTTTGCTTCTCCAGCCACAGTGATGCCAGTTGCTTTGTGTGGTATCCAAAACAACATTTTGTAAAATGCCACAGCCAGAATTCTGCCCAACACAATGCAGCCCCACAAAAACAGAGAGAACTTGCAGTCAAAACAATTTACTCTGCTACAAATGAGCTTCATGTGGGCACACTATTAGCTGTCATGAAGTGAATATTATTAGTGCGAAAACTAAGCTGCACAGCAGAGATAACAGCAGCGCGCCGACACAAAAGAGCAGCAACACCATTAGAGGTGTGAATTTCTGCAGTGCAGTTCAGAGCTGAGCGCACAATTGAATCAGAAATGTGATTCTGCTTAATTCCAACGTACACAATGCTGCGCGGTCTATAGAAGCATTTAAGTGTAAACAAAACCTGTCACTTAAATCCAGCTTTATGTTCTGCTTTGTGTTCTCATGTCCTCCGATATGATTCATCTGAGTCGGCAGGCCGTACCACTGAAGAACAACAGATCTATCACTTAACATTCATTTGCTTTAGGAAAGGTCCTTGTTCATATGTATGATACATGTATTACAGACACAAACCAAGACATGTGAATGCAATCCCCCCCCCTGGATTATGTGCTATCAGTCTGTATTAAACTATTACACACTGCATGGAGGTATGAAATTATGCTGAAAGGGAGACTGAATTTGAAGCATGGAGGGAGGCAGAGATTAAGAGAGAGGAAGGAGTTCTGAACCCCAAATACATTAAATATTTTGCTAAAGTAGATTTTGGTAATTCTAT